AAATCGACGCCGCGCTTCCCATAATGTTTTCAGTCTCCAGTGATTCGAATTAGTGCTTCGTTCGTCTACCTGTGCAAATGAGTAAAGGAAAAACCTGATTAGGCGCTTCAGTACATTCTCTCTTATCAACTTTGACCCCTTTACTGCATGGAACCACATAACCTCAACGTAAACCGAAGTGTCACTAAGGAAAAAAAAAACGACAGCAAAACGTCTGTCGTAAAAAACGATCAAAACGACCCTACATTTCTTCATTTTCATACATTTTTGATTTATAATTGAGTTTATTAAATTATTTGTATCAGTGGCTCATCAAGTGGTGGCGAAGAAGGCGGGGGACGGGAAGGGGACTTGCTTCTGTCTCTCCTGTTTTTTGCAGATTTTTAGTGCGCCTCCAGTGCAGTGTAGAAGATACGAATCTTTAAAATGAGTAAAATTTAGCACATTTCTACCACACTCTTCGATTTACACATTTTATGGGAGGCACTGTTCCAACCCCTCTTTTCCTTCATCTTTAGAAGGAAGAAACAAAAAGAAGACCGAAAATTCTAGGGAATGCCGGAATCGCTACCGGAACGACGCCAGGTGATGTAGCAATAGTTACAGCAGCTTCTCAAACGCAGCATAACCGTCAGTTGTTTATATTAAACATTTCCAACACGCCTGCAAATATTAAACAGTAAAGCAACGCGCAAAGACGCATGTTCACACAGGCAGCCCTAGTATGCGCTGCATATCAGCCATTATCTTGTAGCGCATGAAACCCAGGCTGGAACGCACCAGGCGAGCCCGTGCATCGTACTTGAAATACTCAGGTCATTGAGTGCTTGAATGGTTGTTGCTTTACACCTATCTTTTGCGGTCATTAGCATAAATCACCATAAATATTGCATAAAGTAAATGTACAGTTTCCATTTAACGGTCGTTCTTTGAAAGTAACCTAGCTGTTCGGTGAGAAATTTTCCCGCCAAAACTTTTAAGTGCCCGTGCGTAAGAATCATGCACGGGCACTTAAAGGTTTTGGCGGGAAAACCTCGAGGCTGAATTTGAAGTACTTAAGTTATACTTGGGCAGGGAACATTACCCTAAAATTTCAGCTTTCTAGCTGCTCTGGTTACCGAGTTAGCAATTTTTCCGTCAAAATATTCACATGCCCGTACGTCGTTACTTCATGTGCCTAGGAAGCCAAGTTTGAAATTTTTAAATTGCACGTGGACAGGGAACCTCCCCCTAAAATTTCAGCCTTCCAGCTTTTCTAGTTGCCGAGTTAATAATTCTCCTGTCAAATCTTTCACGTGCTCACACGTAAGAGCCACGCATACCTGAGGGTTGGATTTGAAATATTTAAGTTGTACTTGGACAGGGGGCATTCCCCCAAAATTTCAGCTTTTCAGCTTTTCTGGTTCCCGAGTTAGCAGTTTTCCCGCCAAAACTCCCTTGCGTGAGTATACCTGGGAGCTTAATTTGAAATTTTTAGCTAGCACACTCACAAGGAATATCCCTACAAGATTTTAGCCCCTCATCTTGTCTGGTTCCCAAGATCACTTTCCCGCCAAAAAATTTGCATATTTTTTTAAAGCCTCCGTACGTGGCACCCAAGCGTTCGCGGATGATGACATAAAACAGGAAGGATCGTGCATGGTGTGGGCACATACTCCCAAAGTTTCAGCCTTCTAGCTTTTCTGGTTATCGAGTTGAAAGTGGGTGATAAAAAGTGCGACCACACAGAAGCACACACAGCCCCATTCCTAATATGCGTTTTTGAAATTTACATATACGCAAAAACGCATAAAAACGATGAATGCCGCGCAGTGTTCATTGCTTGGCAGTATTTTCTGCCTCAAAAATTGCAATAGGAGTACTCTTTCCTAATTTAGCTAAATTTTCCAAAGTGCTTTTCAAGTTAAAGAAAATCCTGTTAATCCTGTCTACGCAGCGCCCAAATGTTATATTCGAATGAGTGAAATGTACAGGTAGCCTCAAGTCTTCACAACGAGATAAACAATAAGCTGTGATGGTTATTTTGAGGAAAATACCTCAAAGACATTACGATATACATGCATCACACAACGCGAGACTTCGAAGTGATACATTTTACAAGTTGATGAACTGCAGGAAATCAGCTCAGGTGGAGACGTAAGTTCTTAGGCTTTTTTGAACGCACAGGCTGTACGACCGAGCCAAATAACTGTGACTAGGAAATGGTAAAGCATTGGAAAATACGAAAGCATAAAATGGCTAATACCTGAAGTTCGGTACAATACAGTATGTAGATGATGCACAAGTCACACAGACTACTGCTAGCTTAACCATCAATTGTCAAGTGAATTTTGAGCCATTAGAAATGTATTTTAGAGCAGGAAAGCCTAAAATAATTGTTCCTGATATAACTTCTCAACTTGAAGATATCAAAGTCTTCAAAACCGGAATCATAATAATTGCTCAAAAAATTGTTATGGCATAGTTTTGGGGTTATTTTTGTTGCATTAAAAATAGAATAGCAAACGCTTTCACACGGAAATCCACAAAATTTATGAAAAACATTGGGAAAAATAGAACAACGAATTTTTGTGCATTTTTACATATTTTTACAAGTGCAAAAACGCACATTGACTGGCACGAGATTACTGATGTGTATGTGTGTGTGTGTGTGTGTGTGTGTGTGCGCGCGCGTGCGTATGTGTGTGCTGTCTGCCTGTTCACATTTTGTCACCTACTTTGAATCTTGGTGACCGGAGAAGCTAGGAAGTTTAAAATTTTGGGGCGTGTTCTTATCCCGTGTGCGACCCTCCTTTTTTAAAATTACCATTCACGTACGCTTAGGTCTCACGTAAGACATAGGAAATATACGCCTACGTCGCGTGTTCGGACGTGTAAATATGTACGGAACGAAAAACGATTTTGCCAACCAGTCGAGCTAGGGAAATTGAAATTTTACAAAGATATTCTATCCCTATGTGTAAGCTAAATTTTTCAACTGCAACTTTAAGGCATGCTTAAGTCTCGCCCGTATGCAAATGAGTACTTTGCTGACACCCAATTAACTCAGTAACCAGGCTTAACAAGAAGTAGCATTTTCCTGAACGTGTCTGCTGTTCAGTTACAGGCCAGAATGCGCAAAATGGGCTTTTTGCTTACACAAGTGCCCTGCGCACAGACATATCAAATGTTCAAATTGCAATGTTGCAGTCATCCTACTCTTGACATTAAGCAGACAAAAAGGCTGAAATTTTATGAGACTATTGCCTGGTTTCTTGGGCTACTAGGAACGTAATAGCAATTTTCACATACGCTAGCGCCTCGCTTATGAAAGCGGTAAATTCTAGGCTGTAAAAATGTGTGATCGTACCGGAAAACCTGGCGACCTTTGCTAGTTGATTTGTGACTGAGCTTATTACAAATTTCTTACCAAGCTCGTTGTTCAGCACCAGAAACCAAATGCGAATATAGAGTTTTTTGCAAATCAAGCGATATTTTTTCACAAAATGTTGTAGAGAGACAAGATCATGTTCAAAAATTCTGATACACAGAACTATCACGAGGCACGGGAATTTTAACAAATTATATTTGGTGAAGATTTAGATACGGTATCAGAATTAGCTGAAGAGCTTTTCTAGCTCATGACTGACAAATGAACCTTTTAGCAAAGATCTGAAGTGTATAAAAACTTATTAAACGTGGCAAGCGAAAAAACTGTGGAATTTTCGGATTAAGCGGTAAATCATCTTTTAGCCAACACTGAAAAAAATTCAGCTGAGATCATTATATCAACTGTTCCCGACATAAATACAACACTACCAGTAACAAAGCACGAGTGAACAATGAGGGCAGGTACTTCCGTAGTCCAGATTCTGCAAATGGATAGTCGTTGCATAACTGTCCATTGCACCAGCACAGTTCAACAGTACGATTGGAAGCACGTTTCGCCAAATGCGGTGGAAGTAACCTGTGTGCTGGCATCCTGCTACAAGATGTATCTGAAGTTCATAAAATATTTCGAACTTTTTTTTTTGGAATCTTCTATTGAAAAATTAAAGTTAAATTTGCCCAATACACTTCTGCAACA